CAGTAAACAGGCTCTGGCTACTGTTATCTCCAGGCTAATGATGTCTGCCGCGCTATTCAATTAGGACATGAACAAGGTCACTAACAGCTCAGGCCTTAAAGAGTTTAATGCCGCCCTCGCCACTAGACTTCCACTCCATTAGTCTGTGTTGAGTCCAATAAAAACATCACCTGCGAGAACACAGGGCACAGCCGCATGCTACTTTCAACTCTATTTGCATGCATTCTGCTTTTAAGTTCAAATGCTTTGTGTCTACTGACAGTCTGCTTGTTGTGATTCCTATATTTTGGCGGCATCTGTATGAACAAGAGATGTAATGTTCTCTGCTCTGGTTTATTGAGTTTATTGTCTGTTATTCACATCTGATTCATCGTTAGTTTGAAATAGCTCCTGTCACGCTCGTGTTGATGTTTCATGCGAAGGAACTTCCATTCATTTATCAAATTTGTTTAATTTATAGCTAGTGCCAAATATTTAGCAAGAAAATGTGCTGTTTTAGGCTTAATATCAATTTATTTGTCTCGCATTTGGAAAATAGTTCTTTTTTTACATTAGTGTTTCTCAGCGGGGCTGTTCAGAGAGCATCGGGGGGCGCTGGAAGTGTGTGTTCTTGGGGGGCGTTTGGATAAGGCGAGTGTACACTAAAGATGAGCTGAAACTTGCAAAAGAAAATGGTCTGCCACTTCCTAACACTCTCTACAGTGGATTCATCAAAGCGCACTTTCTATTTTTCTGTCAACTTGTCGGTAGCGCAAGCGCATGAGTGCATCAGAAATAGAACGCGGCATCCGTTTACTGTAGCACTCGCTCTCAGTTACTGAACGACTGATTATAACTCGATCTATGTGCTTTGACGCATCGTGTTGCATCATTTGCACCTGGTGTAGTTGTGTTAGTTAGTGTTAGATGCTAGTTTACACCAATACTATTACTTCTAGAATAGACGGTGTATCATTTCCATAGCATCGACTCTTTACATAAGAGTTCGCTCAGCTTTCTGTAGCGCAGCTGCCGAACTTCCCGTGAAAACAACAGCAAGCATTTGACACAATGAAGCGTGACATGCTTTTTCTTGTTTAGAAATATTAATATGAATGCTTTTTGTTTGCTGATTGGCTGCGGTTGGTTTGAATGCCAAATTTCAAAACAGCTTAGGCTATTCAGCGCTCATAAATATAGCCTAAATTATATTAATGTGGCTTTTTTTTGCTCTTTGGGAAACTATTGATAATGATATTTCAAGTCCAGTCAAATCAAATATGTAATGAATGCCATGTGTCATTCAATTACATATATTTTTTTAAATATACATGGGCTAATAATCAGTCAGTAAGATTTTTAAATAGTTTTGAAACAAATCTCTTCTGCTCAGTAAGGTTGAAAGTTGCATTTATTATTATTAGAACTCTCAGCCTGTTCTGTTTCGGCCAAGGAGGCCGTCTATGAACTCACTGCTTGTCCTGTTCCGGCCAAGGAGGCCGCCTATGAACTCTCTGTCTATCCTGTCATGGCTAAGGAGACCGTTTGCGAACTCCTTGTTCGTCCTGTCACAGCTATAGAGGCCGTCTGCGAGCTCCCTGCTCGTCCTGTCACGGCTATAGAGGCCGTTTGTGAACTCCCTGCTCATCCTGTCACGGCAATGGAGGTGTTCAGAGAGCATCGGGGGGCGCTGGAAGTGTGTGTTCTTGGGGGGCGTTTGGATAAGGCGAGTGTACACTAAAGATGAGCTGAAACTTGCAAAAGAAAATGGTCTGCCACTTCCTAACACTCTCTACAGTGGATTCATCAAAGCGCACTTTCTATTTTTCTGTCAACTTGTCGGTAGCGCAAGCGCATGAGTGCATCAGAAATAGAACGCGGCATCCGTTTACTGTAGCACTCGCTCTCAGTTACTGAACGACTGATTATAACTCGATCTATGTGCTTTGACGCATCGTGTTGCATCATTTGCACCTGGTGTAGTTGTGTTAGTTAGTGTTAGATGCTAGTTTACACCAATACTATTACTTCTAGAATAGACGGTGTATCATTTCCATAGCATCGACTCTTTACATAAGAGTTCGCTCAGCTTTCTGTAGCGCAGCTGCCGAACTTCCCGTGAAAACAACAGCAAGCATTTGACACAATGAAGCGTGACATGCTTTTTCTTGTTTAGAAATATTAATATGAATGCTTTTTGTTTGCTGATTGGCTGCGGTTGGTTTGAATGCCAAATTTCAAAACAGCTTAGGCTATTCAGCGCTCATAAATATAGCCTAAATTATATTAATGTGGCTTTTTTTTCCTCTTTGGGAAACTATTGATAATGATATTTCAAGTCCAGTCAAATCAAATATGTAATGAATGCCATGTGTCATTCAATTACATATATTTTTTTAAATATACATGGGCTAATAATCAGTCAGTAAGATTTTTAAATAGTTTTGAAACCAATCTCTTCTGCTCAGTAAGGTTGAAAGTTGCATTTATTATTATTATTATTACAGCTGGCACACCACACTGACAAAAAAGCAAGATTTGAAATGTAATGGACTATAACAAAGTTATAAATGAGGACAGCACTAAAATAGTAACTATTTTGAAAATGAGTTTTCTTTGAAGTATTTGTAAGCAAACTTTGAAATATTCTCACAAAGTCATGAAATATAGTAAGAAGGGTTTACATTTCTTCCATTTGCTTGTGTAAATGTGATATTTACCCACCAAAATTACCATGTCCACTATGTTAGAAACAAAGGAAATTATATCAATGTATTCTCAAAAAACTGGGTATTTTCTAAAACTAAGGGAAAAGTATTTTTTTTTTTTTCACTGAAAGCTAAAACATCCAAACATATGACAGCAGTAAAAATTGTGTACAAGAGTTCCAGGAACGGAAGAACAAACTAAATTATCTTCTGTAAAAATGCCCCTGTGGATACAGTATATTCTAAACAGGAATTTTTTATCAAGTCTCTTTAAATTTGGAATTTGGTACTGTAAATATAATAACAGTCCTCATTATAAGCACAACATAATAATCAAGTTTAATATTCAGTGAAGACATTTAGACTATGTTTTATTTGATGGGAGGCAGTGAGGGACCTGACTAATGGGTAGGGGGGCGCTTGCCCAAAAAAGATTGAGAACCACTGCTCTACATAGTTTTTACAACACATGGACCAAATACAAAAGATGTATGCATTTTCTGGCCTTTATAAATTAAAACGCCCTCAGGCTTTTCAGAGCCTTATACTTTATTTAACAAATAAATCTTCCAGCATTGCTGGAAAAAAAAAATATCAACACAACCAAAATTTGGGGTCAGTAAAATTGTTTTTATTATATTGAAATAAATGAATACTTTTATTCGGCAAGGATGCATTAAATTGCTCAAAAGTGACAGTAAAGACATTTGTAATGTTACAAAATTTAAAATAAATGCTGTTCTTTTGAACTTTTTATTCATCAAATAATCCTAGAAAAAAAACGTATCATGTTTACTACAAACATATTAAGCAACAAAACAGCCTTCAACATTGATAATAAAAAGAACAAGTTTCTTGAGAAGCCAATCAACATATATTTCTGAAGGATAATGTGACAATAAAAACTGGAGTAATGGCTGTTAAAAACAGCTTTCAATGACATTTTATTTATTTTTTATTTTTTTACAGTTATTAAAATTTGTAATTTTTCACATAATTACTCATTTGACTGTATTTCTTATCAAATAAATGCAGCCTAATTGAGCATAAGATACTTCTTCTTATGAGATAAATCTGACCATCCCCAAACAACTGTATGTCACACTAATGGCGCTTTTCCACTGCATGGTACGGCACGGTACGGCTACACATGGACCAAATACAAAAGATGTATGCATTTTCTGGCCTTTATAAATTAAAACGCCCTCAGGCTTTTCAGAGCCTTATACTTTATTTAACAAATAAATCTTCCAGCATTGCTGGAAAAAAAATATATCAACACAACCAAAATTTGGGGTCAGTAAAATTGTTTTTATTATATTGAAATAAATGAATACTTTTATTCGGCAAGGATGCATTAAATTGCTCAAAAGTGACAGTAAAGACATTTGTAATGTTACAAAATTTAAAATAAATGCTGTTCTTTTGAACTTTTTATTCATCAAATAATCCTAGAAAAAAAACTTATCATGTTTACTACAAACATATTAAGCAACAAAACAGCCTTCAACATTGATAATAAAAAGAACAAGTTTCTTGAGAAGCCAATCAACATATATTTCTGAAGGATAATGTGACAATAAAAACTGGAGTAATGGCTGTTAAAAACAGCTTTCAATGACATTTTATTTATTTTTATTTTTTTTTACAGTTATTAAAATTTGTAATTTTTCACATAATTACTCATTTGACTGTATTTCTTATCAAATAAATGCAGCCTAATTGAGCATAAGATACTTCTTCTTATGAGATAAATCTGACCATCCCCAAACAACTGTATGTCACACTAATGGCGCTTTTCCACTGCATGGTATGGCACGGTACGGCTCGGTACGGTTCACTTTTGGGGGGTTTTCCACTGGGTACAGTACCTGGTACCTGATACTTTTTTTAGTACCACCTCTGTTGAGGTTCCAAGTGAACCGTACCGTTACCAAAACGTGACGTGTAAACTCTGCTGATCACGGATTGGCCGGAGAGAATCGTCACTACCTGCGTCACTGAACTTGCGACACAAACACAACAGAACCGCTAGATTTAAATCAGCACAGCCAGCGAAGGATCGAACGCAACTGTTTTGAATGAAAAAGTTTTTCAGGAGTCGCGGCAATAGAGGTGGTGCAACTATAACGACATGTGAATAATCCCGCCCACTCTAAAGCGATGACACAGAGATGGTGGCAGAAATTGTTTTAGGCCAACAGCAATTTCCCAGGAGGTGCTGTTCACTGACACACAACTGTCTTGACTAACCTCCCATTTGCATTCATCGACTCACATGCATTCTCTCTCTTTGTCCGTCTCTTTCTTTAGGAGCTGGTGGGAAGTAACCCTCCGCAGAGGAACTGGAAGGGAATAGCGATTGCACTGCTTGTTATTCTGGTCATCTGCTCTCTGATCGTCACCTCTGTCATTCTGCTGACTCCAGGTACGCAGCCTGGGAGCAAAGGGCCCGGGGCCATGAGCCTCACACACACACACACACACACACACACGTGCAGGTATAATGCTGTAAACAAACCAGCATGTTTCAAGTGTCTACATACAGGTGCACAATCCTATTACAGACACAGCCTCTCATGTCACCACATCCTGCCAGAACACCTTGAATGTTTTCCAGAACATCTTTTCTTGTACTTAGAAATTTAAATTGGGACAAGTTTTCACATATGTGACACAACCACACAAACAAAATGAACACTTAGAAGGGTTCTAGTGAAGTGTAATAGCAGGCTTCAAACTGCAACTAAATTTGTTGCAAATGTGCCAAAAAATGAATGTGTCCCAAAATAATTTAAAATGTAGTCACTATTGGCCACAGCCAGGAAAAACTGTTACAGATTTGTTTTATTGTTGTTACTTGGCATATGAGATCCAATTGTTACACTGTATCAACTTTTTTAGGGAGGCATGTTGAAACCATAATCAGTACACCATTTTTTCCCCCAAACAAGCATTATTGATACAAAACAGAACAATATTTATATGACACAAATACAATCAGGATCATTAGAGTGACAGAATTTGATTGGAACTAATTTATAACTAAAACACACTCTAGTGTACACTACAGTTCAAAAGTTTCAGGTCCGTTAGATGTTATTATGATTTTCTAAACATCTCCAAGGCTGCATTTATTTGATCAGAAACAGAAATATTGTGAAATAATATTACAATTTGATTTAATTTAATTATATTCTCTACTTACTAAATATATTTTAAAATGTAATTTATTCCTGTGATGGCAAAGCTGAATTTTCAAAAGCCATTACTCCAGTCTTCAGTGTCACATGATCCTTTAGAAATCATTTAGATGGTCAAGAAACATGTCTTATTATCAGTGTTAAAAACAGCATCTTAATACTTTTGTAAAAACTCAATAAATCAGGATTTTTGATGAATAGAAAGTTAGAACATAAAAAATAAAAATCTCTTTACTGTCACTTTTGATAATTTTTAATGCATCATTGCTGAATAAAAGTATTAAATTCTATCAATATATGGTGACACTTTATGCACTGTTGACATGCTACTAAATGAGTACTGATAACTAGTATAGCCTCAACATATATATATATATATATATATATATACTATATATATGTAAATATGCTTAAATTATTACTTAATTTAATAAATACTTAAATTATTGTGGTCTGTATACTAAACATATCTCCATCATAGCACACACAGCAGTGACTTGTTTAAAGGTGAGGAAGCAAGTTATGTCCTCATTGAACTCATTGAACTGAAATGCTTCTGCAAAACCATCGTTGAACCATTGTGTGATCCTGCATTTTTTTTCCCTCATTTAAATTGTCATTTGGGTACTAAATGTTCCAACTTTTAGAAGCCAGTGGTAGCCGCATTGAGTCAAATGCAGATTATGCCTTTGAATGCAGAAAAAATATCACAGTACGGTATATCAGATCTGCCTTTTTTTTTTTTCCCCATAAGAATCGAATGTTAGTAAAGTTCCAGTCAGACTCACAGTGTTTTTGTGTCCTTGTTACAGTGTAATTACACAATTAATAATATACTGTAAGTATCAGGCATCAAGTTGCTTGTAATTATGCATAATGTACTGTTTATTATTATAGTACATACATGTAACATGTAAAACAAATACACTGTAAAGTGTTACCAAAATTGCTTAGTGTCTACATACAGGTGCACAATCCTATTACAGACACAGCCTCTCATGTCACCACATCCTGCCAGAACACCTTGAATGTTTTCCAGAACATCTTTTCTTGTACTTAGAAATTTAAATTGGGACAAGTTTTCACATATGTGACACAACCACACAAACAAAATGAACACTTAGAAGGGTTCTAGTGAAGTGTAATAGCAGGCTTCAAACTGCAACTAAATTTGTTGCAAATGTGCCAAAAAATGAATGTGTCCCAAAATAATTTAAAATGTAGTCACTATTGGCCACAGCCAGGAAAAACTGTTACAGATTTGTTTTATTGTTGTTACTTGGCATATGAGATCCAATTGTTACACTGTATCAACTTTTTTAGGGAGGCATGTTGAAACCATAATCAGTACACCATTTTTTCCCCCAAACAAGCATTATTGATACAAAACAGAACAATATTTATATGACACAAATACAATCAGGATCATTAGAGTGACAGAATTTGATTGGAACTAATTTATAACTAAAACACACTCTAGTGTACACTACAGTTCAAAAGTTTCAGGTCCGTTAGATGTTATTATGATTTTCTAAACATCTCCAAGGCTGCATTTATTTGATCAGAAACAGAAATATTGTGAAATAATATTACAATTTGATTTAATTTAATTATATTCTCTACTTACTAAATATATTTTAAAATGTAATTTATTCCTGTGATGGCAAAGCTGAATTTTCAAAAGCCATTACTCCAGTCTTCAGTGTCACATGATCCTTTAGAAATCAGTTAGATGGTCAAGAAACATGTCTTATTATCAGTGTTAAAAACAGCATCTTAATACTTTTGTAAAAACTCAATAAATCAGGATTTTTGATGAATAGGAAGTTAGAACATAAAAAATAAAAATCTCTTTACTGTCACTTTTGATAATTTTTAATGCATCATTGCTGAATAAAAGTATTAAATTCTATCAATATATGGTGACACTTTATGCACTGTTGACATGCTACTAAATGAGTACTGATAACTAGTAGAGCCTCAACAGATGGACTATCAAAATAAAGTGTTACCATATTTTTTCATGTATTCCTGGTTCAAGTGTGACAAATGTAACAAAGTCTCATACCATAATGATCAACGCTCGATTTTTAAAAAATCTTTAAAAATGAGTTTTGGGTCAAAATGACCCGAGGGACGGATAAGGGTTAAGCGTAAATGAGCGACCGTGTCTAAAGTGCTTGACAAAAAGTTAATAGTTCTGAGAGAGTCAATAGTTCTGAACTTCTGAACTTCATATTTCTTTAGATATAATCAATATGAAACAGTAAAACTGTTCCAGGTAATGAGTTCCAGGCTTTCCACATCCACATGTGCATAAGCATTAATTACACAGTATTATATAGTTTAAAACTGCAAAAACTATACTGAAAAGTGTCTATGTATATTTTATTCATCAATATCTTCTGTGCATATTAATGTTATTTGTTTCTGTTCCTCCTTCCTTATTCAAGAAGAAAGATGACAGTTCAAGCTGAATGAGAAAAGACAACAATGATATAGCCTTTAGGAATCATTCATTAAATGCCCAACATTTCTAATTTTTGCCATAAAAACTGCAGTAGTTGCATGGTCTTCAGTGACCACAAAAAAAAATAAATAAATCAACAAATCAACATGATGATGATACATTAAGATTTTTATCTCAGCAATTTTTCAAATAATAGCCCTTACTAACATAACAAATTGAAACACTGAAACATTGAAATATTTGTTTGTTCATTAATGTCTAATTTACTTAATAATTTATTTTAAGAAAAATAAATAAATAAAAATTATTTTAATCTATTATAACTGTTCAGTTCTAATATATGATTGTATATGACACTGAATATGAAGTAAACACTACAGTCTTTGCCTCTGAAGAACAGATCACCTTGCAAAGCAAAGACATATATGCAATTGTTCACAGTCCAGAGTTGGAGACAATGATGGATTATGAGGATCCAGATTTGGGCCAACCCCAAAACATATGGTTCATGTTTATATACCCGTTCAATGCTGCCAGGAGTGATTTGTGAGGCATCACAGGAGTGGCCATTGTTTATCGCCTCCACAGCCAGCTTAAAATTGACAGCTTTTAGAAAAAAATACATACTGTATAAAACAGTCAATGGATATAATGCATTGGTATACTGTATATTGCATACTTTTCTGCAAACAAAATATGAATAAAATTCTTACCCTTGACACTGGTAGCCTCTTTATGTAGTCTTTTATTGTGAAGTCTCGAGTCATGAACACTGGCTGATTAATATATGCAATCTGAATAAACAGCTGCTTTAAAGAGGTGAAAATAAGAAAATGTAAATAATTATCTTGTTATGATTTACAAGACAAAAAGCAGGAAGATGCTTCTGTTACCCTTTGTTTTATGTGTTGGCCATACCCCTTGCATATGACGTCCTCCTGCTAGATATCAAATGAATTGCCATCTATATATATATATATATATATATATACTATATATATGTAAATATGCTTAAATTATTACTTAATTTAATAAATACTTAAATTATTGTGGTCTGTATACTAAACATATCTCCATCATAGCACACACAGCAGTGACTTGTTTAAAGGTGAGGAAGCAAGTTATGTCCTCATTGAACTCATTGAACTGAAATGCTTCTGCAAAACCATCGTTGAACCATTGTGTGATCCTGCATTTTTTTTCCCTCATTTAAATTGTCATTTGGGTACTAAATGTTCCAACTTTTAGAAGCCAGTGGTAGCCGCATTGAGTCAAATGCAGATTATGCCTTTGAATGCAGAAAAAATATCACAGTACGGTATATCAGATCTGCCTTTTTTTTTTTTCCCCATAAGAATCGAATGTTAGTAAAGTTCCAGTCAGACTCACAGTGTTTTTGTGTCCTTGTTACAGTGTAATTACACAATTAATAATATACTGTAAGTATCAGGCATCAAGTTGCTTGTAATTATGCATAATGTACTGTTTATTATTATAGTACATACATGTAACATGTAAAACAAATACACTGTAAAGTGTTACCAAAATTGCTTCTTAGTTCCACAGCCAAAAATCAGCTAGTTATGTTGTAGTTTTGTTCTCTGCCATTGAAACAGCACCAAAAGAAGCAATCAATCTATGTACAGAATGGGATTAAGCTCTCACTAGAGGAGGATCTACCATGTTTAACTGCAGTGCGTACGTGGCCAGTGAAGCCTGCTACTGGGCAATATAAAACTCTGTTTTCCCTTGCTC